TCGCTTTTGTTGCCCAGGCTAGAGTGAGTGCCTTGGCGTCAGCCTAGCTCACAGCAACCTCAAACTCCTGGGCTCAAGCGATCCTCCTGCCCCAGCCTCCCGAGTAGCTGGGACTACAGGCATGCACCACCATGCCCGGCTAGTTTTTTTCCTATATATATTAGTTGGCCAATTAATTTCTTTCTATTTATAGTAGAGACGGGGTCTCACTCTTGCTCAGGCTGGTTTCGAACTCCTGACCTCAAGCAATCCGCCCGCCTTGGCCTCCCAGAGTGCTAGGATTACAGGCATGAGCCACCGCGCCCGGCCGGGTTTTTTTTTGAAGTTTGTCTTCTACTTCTTCAAGACTAGAGCCTCGGTGGGCTGCAAGGCTGGCGCTCAGCACGCGAATGAGATGTGCGGCAGACAGCTGCCTTCAGCGCGGGGTGTGCGGCTCACAGCCGCTGAGCACTGCCCGGGACCGGAGCCCCCCACGTGGCCAGCCCCGCCGGGGCTGGAAGGTGGGAGCGGAGAGGAGGCAAACTACAGGCTGTGTCTGAAGGTGCTTTGACGGTTTCCTCTGGGGCTGGGCTCCCACTTGGGTTCTTCCACCAGGGCCTGGGCACTGGGGGGGGAGGCCAGCAGGAGTGCGTGGTGGTGCCGGGAGCCTCTGCCTGATGCAAGAGAAGTGCTGGGGCCAGTTCAGCAGCTCGGGGCTGTGGCAGCCACTGCGGCAGCATCGGTGTGGGCCGCAGATCAGGCTCCTGAGGCTGCACACCCACACGCTGTGCAGGACAGTGGCGGCTTCCCCAGGTGCCTGGGGAGGTGGGAGAGCCTGGGCCCTGAGAGAGCAGGGGACAGAGGAAGCAGAACGCCAGCTCCAGCCTTCTGCAGCGCCACACCTCTCCCCAGGCCATGCTCATCTGCCCACCTCTGTGCTGCTCACAGCTGATGCCCCTAAAACCCACACGACCTGAGTCTGCAACTCCCAGGGGAGGAGAGGGTGGGGAAGGGAAGCCAGCAGGAGAACAAAGGAGGCTTTGCCTGGAGAGGGAGGCACCTCCAACTTAGGCCTGCAGGGCCTGGGGAAGTGACTCACTGGGCCCGGGGATTGACCCACCCATGGGGGCCTAAGAATGCAGCGCACGCAGCTGCCCAGGCACAAGCCCACGGCGTGGAGAAGGGGCTGTCAGTCTCAGGCCTTAGCTGGGTGAGGCCTCCCCCAGTTTCCCGGCTCCTTCAGGACCTGCTGTGCGTCCAGCCCCGGGGCCTCAGGCGCCGCCCTGTGCCTCATTAGGCTCTGCCAGGCAGGAGCTGCTGCCACTGGGGCTGCAGCCGCCTGGGGCTGTGGGCGTGGTCCCCTCCGCCAGCCTCCCTCCCGTGGGCCCAGCAGGAACCCCGGCTCCCTGACTCTTGGCAGAGCCATTCTGCCCCCCTGCCGGAGCGGGGGCCATCGTTGCCACCCGAAGGTGGCATCCGGCTCTGACCCAGGGCTCCCGGGACGCCCGTGATGGGAACTTGGAGAGCCCTGGTTGCCGGTCTCGGCAGTTGCACAACCTCCCCCAATTACGCTCCTTATGCTGTGTGGCAACCGGGCGAGAATTCCAGGACCTTGCTCGTACTCGTACCAATCTGCCCTCCTGCTGTTGGGCCGCAGGGCCGGGCGTGTCTCCATGGGCCCCGGGAGAGGGGGGTGTGTCCGCGTCCCGGAGGGCGGGGCCCGCTCGCCTGGGGGCAGCAGCCGGCCCTGCCCCGGCAGTCTGTGCGCCCCAAACCGCAGCTTCCGCGGGAGCCCTGGACCGGGTCCAGGACACAGGGGAGGAAGCTCTGGCGACATTCTGGACGCTGCTTCGAGCAGCAGGCTTGGCCCAGAGCAGGCCGAGACTGGCTGGGGGGCGCCTCGTGCCCTGCGCAGGGGGGATGGGCGGTCAGAACTCTCCCATACTCTGCCCAGCTCTTCCAGACTTTGCCTTGGTTTGTGATTTCTGCGTTAGGGAGATCTTAGGAGTCAGGCCCTGATGATCTGGCTGTCATTCCTGGGCCATGGCTCTGGGTCAAGGAAAACCATGGTCCTAATGGGCCTGGGGGCCAAGGGATGGCAGTCAGGACTGGCTGTTCTGTGTTACGGAAATAAAGGCGAAAGCCCAAATGCAGCTGACCTCCAACCACTCTGCTTTGTGCTACCCGGGATGTCCCTGCTTCTTTCTCTGGGTCTCAGGTTAGAATTTCAGAGAAGCCTCCTTTGCTATGGAGACGCTAGCGTGGAGGCTGGCGACATTGTCTGCTCTACATGCAAGTCGGTGAATGTGCAGTGATCCGTGTTTGGTGTTATGACAAACTTGACAACTGTAATATGGTTTCTCTTCCCGATAACTTCACTGAGCCTCAAGTAAACGACTGAACGTAAACAATTCAGGTGGATAAACAAATGTCTTCTCTGAGCCTCACGGGCTGGTCTTGTCCTCCATGCACCTGCAGTGGCTGGCACACAGGAGCCACCAGTGACTGGCACTGTTTGGGTGGTTGGGAAGATAAGGACCTTTGATAACCAATGTCCCAAGCCTCCGCAGGCAGATCAGCTCATTTTTCCACATCGCAGTTGTATGACTTACCCTTAAATAGCGTAAGTTCTATCCAACACCTCCTTCCACTGGGGGTGGGGTGGTGGGAACAGAAACCCAGGAGGTCTCGTTCCCGGAGCGTAATCAGCTGCCAACAGGCAGCCACGCCTGGATACCCAACCCCAGGAGTGGCCCCATCCCGAAGAGTGAGCCTGTGCCTCTGAGGTTTGGGGCGCTCGCCATGGGTCAGGCAGGCGGCCTGTGTGTCTAGCTTTGGGGCTCCCAGGAAAAGAGATTCCATCCAGGGATGCCAAACTAGATCCAGGGATGCCAACCTGAGATATGGGGGAGCGCGGGCTTCCTAGGGGGCTGGGGTCTCCCTTCCACCGAAAGCTCATGGAGAGATGGCCCCGGACTTACAGAGGACGTGAGCGTGAGGACTGAGGCACTGCCTGTGAGGTCCTGACACTTGACCCTCGCCCAGGTGTGCTTCTAGGAGAACATCAGAGCTGGCCTTGCTCCCAGCAGGAAGCTGCCCTTAGCTGCCACCCATACCTTTCTCTTTCCCTTGGTCCGGGAAGGGTTACCCTACCCCATAGAGCCTCTAGAGAATGTCAGGGCTGCCCAGAATGTCTCATCAGGGCTGAACTCCTAATGGAAAGGGATTCTTGGGAGAATGTTTCCCTATGTCTCTCCCCCGTTGGTGGATTTATCTAAATACAGTTGTAAGTGGATAGACTTTCCTCCTAGCAGGCGCCCTTGGCTACCTTCCTCAGAATGGGGTGGGGTTATGAAATAAAGCAGGGGCATTGTCTTGGGCTTTATGTTGGACATTAGACCTTTGTCTTTGCAACTCCTTTGCAGGTTTCCATGGATACTGACAACAAATCTCATTCTGTCTAATGAGAAATCTCTCACTAGTAAAGGCAGGGGCTGCTTTGGACAAATATGCATTAAAATCATACCTCTCTTTTTACAATCCATTCTAAGGACATCCATTTGTAGATAATTTAAAAACTTGTGGCAACTATAAGGTGTGAGCTTTTACCCTATCTAGTGACCTAGAGTGTTCAGTGGAGGTAACTCCAGATTGAAGCCCCCACCAGAGATAGAACAGCTGCCAGGGCTCTAATCTCCAGTGGGGGTCAAGCCCTCTCTCTACCAGGAGCCACCTGCTTTGGGCAGGTTGGGGTGAGCAGAAAGAAGGCCCTTGTCACACATGAGACAAGACCATGTGTGGCTGCCTTGAGCTTCGTGGCTGAACGTATTTGCCCACCCCCCTTAAAACCAACTAAAGTGGCCGGGCGCAGTGGCTCACGCCTGTAATCCTAGCACTCTGGGAGGCCGAGGTGGGCAGATCGCTCGAGGTCAGGAGCTCGAGACCAGCCTGAGCAAGAGCAAGACCCTTTTATTTTTAGTCTCTACTAAAAATAAAAAATAGAAAGATATTAATTGGCCAACTAAAGATAAATAGAAAAAATTAGCCAGACATGGTGGCGCATGCCTGTAGTCCCAGCTACTTGGGAGGCTGAGGCAGGAGTGTCGCTTGAGCCCAGGAGTTTGAGGTTGCTGTGAGCTAGGCTGATGCCACGGCACTCTAGCCTGGGCAACAGAGTGAGACTCTGTCTCCAAACAACAACAACAAAAAAAACGACTAAAATGATGGCCATCAAACGATGATATCACACTTCCTCTAACACCGCACATCAGCCCAGGTGTCAGGCTCAGGGCCTGTGGCTGCCCTCTGTGGCCATCAGTTGTCCCCCCAGCTCTGTCCAGAGCTCCTCCCTGTTGTTTTGAACCCAGTGTCCTGCCTCCAACCGAACATCCCCTGGCAGCTCCCGTTGTTGTCTGTTCCAGCTTGTCACTTACTTAGGAGAAACTCCCATCTAGTGTGTCCTAGAGTGTCCTCCAGGGCCAAGGCAGCTGTTTTCCTGTCTCTGGAGTCAGGAGGGAGGGCAGGGCCCAATGGGACGGGGCATCTTGGCAGACAGTGTTCCCCAGAGCAGGCAGATGGATCTTGCGGCAAGTTTAGGCTCTGCTGGGCTCAGCCAACTTAGAGTCTTCTCTTGGTCGGGGGCTCAGTGGAGACTGTTTCCCCACTTCTCACATCGGCGCTTTCCCTGGACCTTGTCAAACATCTTAAGTGGTGCGCTTCACATATTCACACGCACCAAAGCAACACAGTGCAAAACGCCTGAATGCTGGAGTCCAGGGTGGGAGTCTGGGAGAGGTGAAGGACTGCCCTGTTCCCGCTCCCGGGTGTGCATCCGGTGCCTGGGAGCCCTGGAGTTGCTTGGGGCCCTCAGATCCAGGAAGCTTTGGGACTTGGAACATTCAAGGTCCTAAGTGGCCACGCCAAGTCCCAAGTGTGACGAGCCGTGGCTCAGAATCACCCCTACCGGACTACCTTCTCGTGGCTGCCTCAGTGGGTTAGAAACAAGGCGCTAGAGCTGTGTGTAATTTATAAAATATCCTTTATTTATTCTAAGGAACACAGTCAAATAGTAGCTTTAAAAAAAAACAAAAACAAAAAAAACCTCGACACACTTTTGGAAAGATTATTAGTGTTGTGACCTGGCTTGGAGCCCCCATGAGAGTGGGATGGTGGCCACACGCTGTGGCTTTGCGAGTTCTCTGCAGTCCCTGGCAGAGGTTTGGTAGCAAGGAGGGAAGCTTTGGCACAGCTCTGACCTGTTGTTGCTCACGATCAACAATCGTTTTGAGGATTAGGAAGAGCAGAAATAACATTTATATTGCTGGTATTTGACAAAACGTTGCTTATAAATATATTCATTCCAGGAAGTGTAAAAATGTTTCAAAGGAATTGATAATTTGTACTTATTTATGGAGACTAGGTCTGTTAGAATTACAGCATTACTATGTCTTTCCCTACAAATTCAGATATTCCCAAGTTGATGGAGAAAATCATACTTCCTGATTTCACTTAATTAGTAAAGAAACAGAGTAGCATTTAATCGGATAGGGTTACTCTTTTTCTTCCCTTCTTTTTTAGCATGACGACTTAATTAAAAATACAGCTGGCTTCGGAAATGTTAGAGAATCCCCCCAATCAGTAAATGACCATGCTATCACACCAGAAAAACCCATAAACACACGCAGCATTGAGCTACTTTCACAAGACTTCCTTTCCAATAAACACAAGGCTTTCTCCTCCTCTCGGATGTCAAAATGCAGATGTGCCAACTGCAGGCGCGTTGCTAAGCAGAGGAGAAGCCCAGCAAGTTTGTCCAGCAAATTAGATTGTTCGTACAGAGGAAGAGGATCTGCTCTGCAGCCCCAGACAGGAGGTGGCTGGGCGTGCTCCTGTTCTCTGAGGCTGGTGGCCCTTAGGGGGGCAGGTAAAAGGGTCCTCGTGAGTTAGAACACAAAGGCTTTGAGGAAAAATAGGGAAAGGCTCATTAAAATGGGAGGTCTACGTGAATTCATTCAAGCTCCTTCCCTTGGACATGTCGAGATCATATTCTGAGCATCGGGGAACTGCCGCTCTCGTGCTAACTGCATCTCTGTGCCCCTGGCTGGCCTGAGCCATGGCCTGCCACCTTCTCCGTGCTGCTACGTGTGGCTCTAAAGAGGGCGTCACCCCCAACCAAAAGACAGTGTGAGAGAAAAATCCCAAACATTCAAGACTGAGTTCAAAAGCCCCTGGACATCTGTCTGTCTTTCCCTGGTTCGCATCTGGTCAGGGGCTGTGAATCAGAATGCAGGATCTGTGCTGCCCAGAGGGGACAGACAGCAGAAGCAAGGAAACACCCAAACGCAATAAATAACACCAAGCACCAAGCTCAGGGCCGGCCCCCGTCCTTTCCCCAGCCACCGCTGCCGGTTACTCATCTGAACCGAAGGAGCCGGGGAGAGGAATTCCACCCCTAAACCTGCCTGCACGACGTCAAGTGCGGGAATCCAGCCGCTGCTTCTGCACAGGATGGAGCCTCAGTCTTTTGCTTTGCAGCATTGTTTATGGCATGAACTGGGAACGGAATGTGCTCACACAAACACACGACAAGTATACATCAGCATCTTTACAATATTAAAGGAGTCATATACAAGTCTACAGGCATTGTACACGGGGTGGAGAGGGCCAGGGAGCCCCGCCCACCAGTTCTCGGCAGGCTCCCCACCCAGGAAGGGCCAGCACTTGGGGATGAGAGGGGGCCGGGGAGGGTGCATCCTTGGGCCTGTCATCTGAGAGGCAGCAGGTCTGTGAGGACCCCTCAGGGCCAGTCCTCATTGGAATTCGGGGTCAAGAGGGCCAGGTGTGCCTGTGTCCGGGTCTTATCGGCAGGCCAGCATGACAAGTATAATTAAAACTCAGTGTGCATGTGAGCGTAAGAAAGTTGGAGCTGGGGATGGCTCCCTGAGCTGGGGACCCAGAGGACAATGCTGACAGATGGGCCCCTTCCTGGTGGGGCCCATTCCTGAGGTAAGGTGCGGCCCTGTGGCTGGTCCCCGTGGGAGGAAACTTCTCCGGGAGCCCAGGTGGGAGGACGTGCAGACAGGACTGGAAGCCCCAGCATGAGCAGGTCAGGGGACCCACCAAGTGCAGCCTGAGCCCCCCAGTGGTTACAGAGCCCCCCAGGCCCCACGCCCTCCTCCCCGCCGCCCTGCCCCTGGGAGCCCTGCTTGGCTCTGCAGCGATCGTCCTTGCATCCGTCCCGAGAGCCCCAGCTCTGCAGGCACCTGGCCCGCACGCCGGGCAGCTCATCCGCCGTGTGGGCGCCGTGCGTCCGACTGAGAACTGAGCACCAGAAAAAGGAGTGTTGGTCCTTGTCGGCCTCTCCGACGACCTGTGCAGTTACACTTGCTTCCGTTTTAAATACTGTAGAAAAATAAGCCATCTCTGACTCAAGGAGACCCACCAGAGTCTGCCACTCGTGGAGAAGGACAAATGGCTCCTCCGGAGTAGCTGCGGACGCCTCTGCTGACCCTGCCTCAGTGGGCCCCTTGGCCTCAGAGGATGCGGCACCAGGCTGGGGGGCCAGGGGCTGGGAGAGCCGGCAGCGGCGTTCCCACGGCAGCATCTTTGGGTCACGTCAACGGTCCTTCGGTGGGCATGCCTCCAGCAGCCCAGATTCTGTTGCCATGACGACGCTGGGGGCCCTGGTGCTCCCTGGGCCGGCTTTGGCCCCTCCAGCCCCGGCATCAGTCTCATGCCCACTGCTGAGCACACGCAGGAAGACTCCCCCCAGCACTGTTCCCAGGTCCCTGGGGTGTCCCAGGTGGGCAGCGAGGCAGGGCCTAGTCCAAGGGCTCCTGCTTTATCCGGACGGCAGTGGGCGTGGGCTGCGGTCGCCGCTCCTCCCGGCAAAGCACGTACTCGCTGAACTGGGAGGAGTCCACGCCGCCCCCACAGGACGCGGCCACGCTGAAACCCCTCTGGAACAGCCTCTCCAGGACCTGTCAGGGAAGAAGCAGGGGTCAGCAGTGCCCACCTGTAAGAGTTTACCTGGCTCGGAATGGCGGGCAGGTGGGTGCCAGCCATGGTGGCCAGCAGAGCCAATCACCTTCTCCTGCTAAGAGCTCAGTCTCACTCACGGACAAAGGTCCCTGCAGAGCCACCTGTTAGGTTTCAGCACAGGAGTGGCAGGAGCAGCCAGGCCCAGTCACCGCACCTGGGCAGCCCAGCCCACCTAAGCTGCCACCCTGCTGCCCTCCGGGGTGCACGGCTTTGATTCCTGGAGGCAAAAAGCCTTTGCACCTCTTCTCTAGGGTGTAACCTGCCCCTTCTCTCCAGACACAGGGGCCCAGGCACCCCCTCTCTGAGTCCTGCCCCAATAGCTGTGAGTTTCAGAGGGAGATCTGCGTGGAAAGACAGAGAAGGAGTTCTTTCAACGCCGGGGTCTCTGCAGGCCTCCATGGCCACATGGGCTTGTGGCTCTGGGAGGGTGGGGCCTGGCCACTCCCTGTGTCCTACAACTAGCAAGTTCCGACTGGCAGCCTGCGGGGCGTGTGCTTTCCCCCACAAAGTCCGTTCTGCCCGAACCCCAAAATATGTGTGTTCTCGGGTTTGGGAAGAGCTGTTAGTGGGGCCCGCTCCATGTGGGCTCCCCAGTTCTTAGACCTGTCCAGGAGAAGCCAGCCCAGACGCTCTGTGGGCCGCTCCCAGGTCAGGGGGAGGAGAGGGGCCCTAAGCCACCGTTACTCTCAGGCTCTGTCCCACCCCGCTTGTTGCCTGGGTTTAGTATGAATCCAAAGTCAGACTCTGGATGTCAAAGGAAGCACACTTAGTTGAAAGCACTCTGGGCCATTTTTACAGAACATCCTTTTGGAAACAAAAAAAAAAGTGCAGATCAATTTTTTTTAAAGTCCAACCCCCAGGCACCATCATTTAATTATGAGCGGGACATAAATTATGCATCGACATATTGTTGCCTTTTTTGTAAGATGGCACGGAGGGCTTTGCCATTTCGGGGACGAGGCCTCCCTGCACCTCGCACCGGGCCCGGGGAGGCGGCCCCAGCCCTCACCTGCACCGAGTTGAGCCGGCAGTAGCCGTTGAGCGGGAAGCGGATGACGTGGGTGGGGTCCTGGTTCCAGCCGGCGTTGACCGAGTTGCACATGACGTCCCCCGTCTCGGGGAAGACCTCCTCGATGAGGGCCTTCTCGCCGCTGAGCGCGATCCGCTCCCCCAGGTCGGGCGTCACGCGCACCACCAGGCAGTCGCAGGCCCGGCTGCGGCGCCGCTGCTCCTGCTCCTGCTGCCAGCGCTCCAGCTCGCGCACCATGGGCTGCAGCTGGTAGTAGCGCGCCTCCTCGTACAGCAGGCTGAAGTCCTGCGGACACCGCGCACGCGCCGGTTGGGGGAGGCGGGGGCTCCCGCTTCCTAGCGATTCTGCAGGAACTGCCCTCCCCGCCCCCCCCAGGGCACAGTGTGTGTGGACCTGGATGGCTGTCCCCACTGCGTAGATGAGGCGGATGAGTGTGTGCAAAGCATAAGGAACCTAGCCTTGACCCGAAGGCAGCCGCTGGTGTGCACCAGCGCCAGACCCCCTGGACCCTTCCACCTGGCCCCAAGTACTGGGGCAGAGAGAAGCCTCGTGGAAAGATCTGGAGGCTCCACTAGAAAAGCCGGAGGCTGTCCTTAAGCCTGGGGCCCTGCTGTCTTCTTAGCATCCCACTGAGAGAACAGACCCTGCCGGGCCCAGGCAGCCCACCCTCACCCACTCCAGAGGAGCTCACAGCCCAGCCCGGGGGCAGACAGTTCCTCTCCAGCCAAACCTGCCTGGGTTGGGTTTTCAGCTTCATCCTCTACTGGCCCCGAGAACTCTGAACCTCAGTTACAGACCTCTGAGCCTCAGTTTCCTTGGCCATAAGTAGATGTAAACACCCAGCTCAGAGACGGGGAATGAGGATTGAAGATGTGCCCAGTGCCTGGCCGTGCCCCTGCTCATGCAGGTGCGCAGTGTGACGAGGTGTCCGGGAGGGGAAGCCCTCACCCCTGCCAGGCTGTGCTTCAGGCCCTGGTATCGGCCCGGCGCCCAGGGCCACATATGCACGTATGACACGCTCACTCCCACCCCCTCAGCCCTGCATGACCGAGGTCCCGTGACTCACGCCATTCACTGGGGCACATGAGCAGCAAGCGAGTCTGGCGGGTGGGCCGGGGAGCCCCTGGGGCGAGGCGAGGAAGCCCAACCTGCTGGCCTGGCCTTCGGAGATGCCCCGAGGGAGGCCCCAGTCCTCCCCTGGGGCTGTTCCCAGTCGGGGACCCATCCTGCCCCTACGCCAGGGTCCCTCAGGGCTCCACCCTGAGCCTCTGTTGCCAAGATTTTACATGACAGCTCTGCCAAACAACCCCATTTCCCCCACAGCCCGGAATGTCTCCGCCGACGCCCCACCAGCTCCCCACACTCCTGCAGCCTGGTCCACCTCTGGGCCTCCGCGCACCGACTCAGGACTGCAGCCACAAGCCACGAGGCGCCCCCCAAGAGCTGCCTTACTCTGCCAGGCCACACCACGTGCTTTTGCAGCCTTCTTCCTAAACGTAAGTCTGACCCACCACCACGCTCTGTCTTCTCTGCTTCTGTCCTTCCTGGTCCAAGGCCTCCAGCAGCCCTCCCCTAGCCTGGGGAAGTGGCCTCACCCCCAGCTGCCCTCCTGCACCCCCCCAACCCTCCTGCCTCCTTCTGCACACAACAGCCAGCGCGATCTCTCCAATTCGCAAATCTCATTGTCCTTCCCCTACGTGCACAGGACCCTTCCACGGCACTCAGGGTAAAATGCGAAATGCTGAGCCACCCGCCAAGATTCTGACTTTTTTTATTTTTTATTTTTGAGACAGAGTCTCACTTTGCTCCCCAGGCTAGAGTGAGTGCCGTGGCATCAGCCTAACTCACAGCAACCTCAATCTCCTGGGCTCAAGCGATCCTCTTGCCTCAGCCTCCCGAGTGGCTGGGACTACAGGCATGCGCCACCATGCCCGGCTAATTTTTTCTGTATATTTTTAGTTGGCCAATTAATTTCTTTCTATTTGTAGTAGAGACAGGGTCTCACTCTTGCTCAGGATGGTTTTGAACTCCTGACCTCCAGCAATCCACCTGCCTCAGCCTCCCAGAGTGCTAGGATTACAGGCGTGAACCACCACGCCCGGCCCAAGATGCTGACTTCAAACAGCAGCCTCCCTTCCTGCTCTTCCCCTCCCAGTCTGGAAGGCCCCAGGCTTGACACCTTCTCTCTAGTTCTGGAATGTATCCAGCCCTTTGGCACCCCTAGCCCCTCACCAAGACCCTTACCCCTGTCTGCCCTGTTCCTCCTTCACCACCCGGGTAAACATCATGTCTCTCAAAGCTGCCCAGGCCAGGTTCCCTGTCGTTCACTCTCACAATCCTCTGTACTTCTCTGAAGCATCTGCCACGTGGAATTCAAGTTGAACACCTGTCTCCCCACTAGCCTGTAAGCGTCACGGGGCAGGTGCTACCCCCGCCTCCTGCTTCACTGTATTTTCGCCCAAGTGCAGATGCTTGGCGCTCAGTAACAGAGCTGCATGGAGGACAAAAGAGCCCCAGGACGACTGGCCCCTGGGTAGAGGAAGGAAGGAAGGACAGATGGACAGACGTTTGCTGGTGTGAGCCAGGTACCCTTCCTCCCAGGCTCCCTGGCTCCGAGTGGCTCCGCATGGAGGCAGGACCCAGGGAGCCGGGTCACCTGCCCCGGCAGCCTCGCCCTGAGAGCTGGGGGCTTCCTTTTGTCTAAGGGCCTCTGTTTAGATCACCGGGGTCTTTCCCCTGCAAACTGCCAAGCAGGAACAGAGGCACGAACCCCTAAGTCCCGTGACTCCAGCACACAGCAGTCCTTAGCCACAACACACGTCACGCTCGGCTAAGTGCCGCAGCGTAAGTGTTGCTACACCCCGATAAATAAGCAAAAAAAAAAAAAAAATGTGAGGAAACAAAATTAGTTTAGAAAAACTGATTTAGCCTTCGGCCTCATCATTTAACTTTTCGCGGTTGCCATGGCAACCGAGGGTCCATTTATTAAGTCACAGCGTCCCCTGTGTAATGCCATCGCACAGGCGGCGGCGTGGGGGAGCCGCCAGCCTCGGACTTACCTTGAAGTCATCTGGGAGCAGCAGTTTCGACGTCCGCAGGAAGCTCAGGACGTAGCGGAAAATCTCCCCATCCCGGTCGATGAAGTAGTGTTGCTTCAAACTGTCCAGGACGATGGGCTCGGTGCCGTTGAAGAGGCGGCTTATCCTGGGAGAGGCGGGCAGGGCGGGACGGGCGTCTGAAGGCAGGAGCTAGGTCCACCCGTCCCACTGCCCACTCCTTAGAGCCACCCTGCTGCAGGGGCCTCGCGTGGGTGACTCCAGGACTGTAGTCAGGCCTGACAACACCTGTGCACAGCCGGGCCACGGTCAGACAGGACACGCCACACACCCCACCCACACTCGCAAGCCACAGCCAGAGAGGGACACGCCCAGCTACACACGCCAGCTGGCCCACACACGTCACAGGCCTGGGAAACTACGGCAAGACGTAGACACGGCCACCTGGCCCCACGCACGCAAAGTCGCAGACCCGGTGCGCACACCCTCCCCAGAGACAGCCGCCCCTTATGTGCACGTGGACCATCCGATAACCCAGCCAGCGGCCACACACCTGCCGAGAGGGTCCTTGGTAACACGCGTCCTGCTCGCCCAGCCCATGTAAATGAGCATCAGACGTGACACACCTGGGCAACAGGCCCGGGGTCACACGGTCCCCTCCCTCCCAGCACACAAATCTCGGGCAGACCCAGACACATCCAGGCGAAGGACATGCACCTGCCAACACCAGGCACCCAGAGACACGAAGTCACAACAGCCCACAGCCACTCACGCAGGGAGCCATGAGGGAGAGACACAGGCAGGCAGGCAGGAGGGAGGGACAGCACGTGTGCATGCGTGCCACAGTATATGCATACATGTACATGCCAGTGTGTACACACCCAGACACCAGGCACACGTGTGCACACGTGGGTGCCCGCACTGAAAAAGGCAGTGGTTCCAACCAGGTTCCAATGCAGAACCTGCAGGAAGTTCTTAGAGAGCCCTCACACCTGTCCCTGTCCACTCCAGGAAGAAAGAACCAGGCCTCGGAGCCAGGGCTGGTACCTCCCCGATGTCCAGGTGGCTGGCTCTGGCTTGGCCAACTGTCCCGGCAGACCCTCGGCCAGGCTGTGGATACTTAGGAGCCCCAAGGAGGGGTGGGGGCAGCCACGAGCTGGGCCTGAGAGCGGGAGGGAGGCTGGCAGCGTCTTCCCAATGCCAGCACCATGAGACATCTGTTGGCCGGCAGGGCCACACCCACTTGTGCCCGGCTAGACCTTGCCAAGGTGGCAGCTTCTCTGCACAGCTGGGAGAAGGGGAGCCCTTACCTGGGACCCAGGTCTTCCAGCTTGACCTGGACACAAGCCAGCACCTGAGTCCCCTTCCCCCCTTCCTACACCAGCAAGGGTCCCACCAGCGCTACTCCCCTGTCCCCACAGCGGCCTACTCCTCTGCCCACTGAGTCAGCTGCTCCCAAGGCCCTGCCATCGGTGCCCAGGACGCACTGGCTGGGCAGAGGCTGGGGGCGTTGGAGCGCCCAGAGCTCCTCCCAGTACCTCCCACCCAACCGTCCTATGCTCTGGTGGCCTGGACACTCGACGCGTCAACCATGGCACGGAGGAGCCATGCAGTCACCTGTTCTCACTCTGGGGACATGGCCAGAGTAAGGCAAGGCTCTGTGAGGAGGTCACGGCTGCTGGGAGGGGTGTGGAGAGGCCTGACCCTCTGACGCCAGAGCAGCAGCCACCCAGACACAACCCATCTCAGCGCTCCAAAGGCCACTGAGCCCTGTCAACCCCCAGGCATGGTGACAATGATGCTGGGGGACACAGCCCCTGCTGGAAAGCCTTGTGGGTTCCTTGGCTGGTTCCAGCTTTTGAAGCCCCCAGGACCTGGCCTAGCAGAGCCTGGGCATTCAGATGACACAGTGGGGGCCACCCAGCACCCCTGGAGGCAGAGAAGCAAGGCCGCCAGGTGCCACAGGCGGTGGTCAGCAGACAGCTGAGGGCCCCCGCGTGGCACAAGCAGGAAGAAATCAGAGCCACGTCCACAGGTGAGTCAACAAACCCAAAGCCTCGGCCTCCCTGGGAACAGCCCCCGCTCTTCCCGGCTGAGCCCAAACACTCCGGGCAGCAGCACCATCCCGGGCCTGGCCGAGCTCCAGACCCTCTGACGTCAGGGCTGGCGGACGCGCCGGCCCGTCCTGTTGCTCCAGAAGACTCCGGAGCCACCCCTATGGTGGGGCTGGCTGGGTTCTAGGTTGTCTTGGTGGTCCAAGGCTAGAAGGTTCTCAATCTGCCTTACTTCAGCGCTGGCTAGTTCTAGATCTTTCCGTGGTTCAGTGTCTGTTCCAGGACAAACTCGCAGCTGTGCAGCCCCTCCCAGGACAAAGGCCTTTCATGCCCTCAGTGTCCCAGGACGTGAGCGGGATGAGGGAAGATTAGGACAATCGCCGAGAAGGAATCCTCAGACGCTTGCAGCGTGAGCTCCGGCTGTGACATCCTGGGTTCTGTCCCTGGCTGCACACGTCCCCGGGGAAACGGGCCCAGGCCACCCTCTGCGAGAGGCTGCAGGGTTTGCAGAGCCGACTTTAGATGTCCTTCATGGAATAAGCTGGGTAGTTCCCGCTGCGGCAGTTGGCACCCTCGGGACAGAAAGGTGCAGTCCAGCCACCACCTGTGTGCTCCAGGAGGCTCCAGGCACTTTTATCTTTTTCCTCGTTTTTAAGCTCTGGCTCCAATCTCCCGGCTGCTTGGGTGGAAGGCTGTATTGGTTCTGCAGCTCCTGGCTGTCTCCATCCCTTGCTTCCTGCAGGCAGCACAGACGTCAGCGTGGGGCTGTGACAGCAGCAGCCAAGCGACACCTGGCAGCCAGGACACGAGCGAGGGGGCTGGCCCAGGGAGTCAGTCCGTCCTCAGCAGCTCAGCCGTCTCCGGGTGAGGCCCAGAGGAGGCACCCAGGCCACCCCGACCCGCAAGGAGCCAGAAGCCCACGTGGTGCAGCGAGTGCAGGAGTTACAGGTGTAGGACAGGTGTGGGAGCTACAGGTGTAGGACACTGTTGACATCTGGACATGCCCTGGGGACCTCAGCACCTTCATCTCCAAGTGACTTCACAGACCAGTGACACTGGTTAAGGGATTGATCTTCTTTTCCAGAATTGGTGAAAAACAGTTTTAAAACTGTAATAATCCACTAAAAGAAGGATGGGAGAGATCTGGGGGGACCCTTGCCAGCACAGCTCCCCAATTCACTTCTCAAGCCCCCAGTCCCTGTTCCCAGTCCAACCTACAGCTCACCCCCCCCCCAGCCTCCAGGCTGAAGCTTCAGGCCTGGGATCGGCTCTGCTGCAACCAGAAGCTACCCAGGCAGAACAACAGATTCATCCTGAGCCCCAGCCTCAGGGAAGAATGCAGACAGCCTCCCCTCCGGGCACGTCCTGCCTCGAGGGTCCCACATGCCAGATCACAGGGCCATGGAGGCCTGAGCTCCCTGCCAGAGGGCATACCCCACTTTGCAAAACAGCACGCCACGGGGCCTGGGAGGGGAAGCTCCCACCCTCCTGCTCCCAGGCTGCAGCCCAGCGCCAAGAACCAGGAGGCCCCTCCGCTCCCCCAGGGCCTGGGCTGCAGATCGCTCCAGAAAGGCAAATGTCTGACTTCTGGAAACACTTTGCAGAGAGGGTTGTGGGCAAAGGTTTTATGAATTTCGCTCACAAACGTCGTCAACCGATTAAGGGATGATCTATCTCAAACAACTTGGGAATGCCGCAGAAGGCAAAATTGAAATTAAATAAGCAGAATCCATCTCCCATCCCAGACAGCGCGCTCTGCGGGCCTGCGGGCCGATGCTGCGGACCTGGTCTGGGGGCTCCTGGCCCCCCGCAAAGCCTCAAGCTCAGAGCCCCAGGTCTACTCTGTCGGGCTGAGGGAACGGAAGCCCCAACCACATCTGTACCCCAGACTCCCCGAATTTGGACCCACGCACTGCATCCACCTCCGGCAAGGGGGCACTCCTGCCCTGGGGGGGGCTCCGCCCTGGCCCTCAACAAGCTCCGACAGCAGCCACCTCCATGCACTATAACCCTCCCTGCTCTTCGCAGCCAGACAGGTGACAATCCCTCCGTGTCAGGGGGATTAATTAATTCCTCCTGTATGTTTAATGCACAAAGCAGGGGTGATGCCTGCAGCTCTGGCCTCCCCATGCTCAGCCCTCAGCGGCCCCAGGGAGAGTAGTGGCCGCCTCACCGTGCCAGGAGCGAGCAGTCGCAGCTCCGGGAGATCTCAGGGACACAGCCCAGCGCAGGTCAGCCCTGCCGCTGTGCCAACAGGGAACCCAGGTCCCCTGCCCAGAAGGCAAGAGTGGGTGAGGTGACAGTACCCAGAACCTTGAACAGGGTGGAGGGTCGGGGCAGCCCGTGGGTTCAGCAGCGTGGGGGGACTCCCTACCAGGAGGAGCCTGCAAGCCCCCAGCCAGGGTCCTGGTCAGACACTTGATCCACTGATGGGGTACAAGGCTCCTGCTCACCCCCAGCCCTGCATATCCCAAATTTCCTGGAATCCCTGCCAGTCACTGACTGCAACACCCAGCTCCACAGGAAGCCTGCTGCCAGCGGCCACCCACACCAACAACAATGGCAACTGCCGCTCTGTCTCTTTCCCCTTCTGCAGTTTCCCAAGGTTAGAATAGGAAATGGGATTAACTACCTGCCCCCCCCACCAACTCATGACCTCAGGACTCAGCCTGGCTCACAAATGACCCCCTGCAGAGGCCAAGCCTGAGTGCCACTCCAGAGGAACCTGAAGGTACCTGAGAGTCCCCAGCCAGGCCCAGGTGGGGCTGGCTCTGGACAAGTCCTAACCCTCCGTCCGCCAGTGGGTCCAGAGCTCCGCCTTGCACTCCAGACCACGGTCACAGCCTCTGTGCAAGGCAGCCTTCAACAGGTGGACTCAGCCTCCCAAACGCTAGCTCCCTGGGTCCCAGCCCCCTGTGCACCTGGAGAGTCAGGTGTGGGGGGCTGGCAGGGGAGACGCCCCCCAGGGCAGCAGGCTGCAGACGCTGCCCCAGCCCCAGCCCCACCCCCGGGGCCACGTGCCTGCTGCTCCACCAGGCCCGGCTCTTACCTGGAGTCCGGGTACTTCGTGAGCGTGGCCAGGCTGCTGGTGTACATGTGGCCGCCCACGTCGATGTGCACAGGCGCGTTGGACTTGGTGAGCTGGGCTGGCAGGGGGATCCCCTGGGCAGCCAGGGGGGACACGGGCGACCGGGTGAGAGACAGCCGGGACATGTTTCCTCCCTCCTGGAGATGGGAACAAAGCAGGAGACAGGAGTTTCTCCACGGCACAGCCGTGCACTCCCTTTATTGGGAGTGTGATCACAGATCTAATCAGATCACTTCTGCCTGTGCCTGATCACATATTCGGCTGACAAATTACGGCCACCACTGTAATTAAGTGTATTTGCATCATTTTCTTCAAAGTACCAGAGGGAAAAAGAAAGATGCTTATTAGCAATAAGAAATCAAGAAAAAAAAAATTTTTTTTTTTTCTTCCAAGGTGTCAGCCTCCAGGGGCATAAAACAAACTGCAAAATTCTAATTAAAGGTCGCGGGCTTATGTGTTAGATGTGAAATATCCCCTGACAAACGAATCACCAATTTGTGAATTGGGATTCAGGGGTTTTTGCAAGTTTGTCTCAGTAACGAGACACCTCTAAATTAGTGACTTCCTCAGCACCTAAGGCGTTGAGTTTTATACATGTAGTAAATTTCACATCAAATTAAGAGCATTTTTTGTTTCAAAAAAATACATTATCGTGCAGCCAGTCAACAGCCATCTCCTGAGTGCCCTGGCCCTGAGGGAGGACGGCCAGGGAGCAGGTGCTCGGGAAGAAGGCAGAGAGGGACCCCGGCACCCACCCAGCCCGCGGGGCAGGCTCACCGCGGTGCCGCCGCTGCCGTGCGCGAGAAGTGAGGACCCGCTCGGCCGCTCCTTGCGGTGAGGCATCTAGGCTTCCATCGCTGCCCAGAGTATCTGCAGGAAGCAGGGACAACACCAGACAGGGCTCACTCCCCGGCAGCTGTGGGCACAGGGTCTCCCAAGCAGCGAAGGACACTCAGAACCGTCCTTTCCGCACACTCTCTGGGACCCCACGTGCTCCAGGCAGCCCGCCACCGTCGTCTGTCTCTGCAGCCCAAAGCAGGTCTCCCAGCCAGAGCGGACTACACGCATGCACGCGAGCGCGCACGCACACACACACACACACACACTCTAACACGCACACATGTGTTTTCTGGGCAGCTCCATGCCTGCTAATTCAGCTAATGACAGTACTGAAACATATGCTCACCATTATTGCCCCGAAATGTTTCAGAACAAATCTGATTTTCCTGGTATTTTGGGTTAGAGCCATGTTACCAAGCGTGTCTCCTCTTGCATCAGCAGAGAACCTTGTGGACCAGGGCTCGGGAAGGATCCCCCTCCCTCCACGGGCCGGGGAGCCCAGGACCTCTGTTTGCAACTGGCCCAGACACACACAAGCCCTTCCGCAGAAGCCAGGGCACGGGCACAAGCGCAAGTCACTTGGGAAGCCACCTCTCCCCTGTGGCTCCCCAGAGCAGAGCAAACCTGCCTTTGTTTGCCTAGTCTGCACCTCACAGTCTGTCCCCAGGTCCCCAGAGTGGTGTCCTCCGTGCCCAGTGGATTCTCAACGCCTCAGGCTCACACGCCCTGCCCCGAGGCATCACAGAGCTGGCCAGAAGGAAACAGCCCTTCAGCAAATGCACCCTTCCCCCCCCAGATCACTCAGGGATTCCCCTCTGTGCCACAACCACTTGCAATAAGATTGTCCTGCAGCCCCTCCTGGAAGCCACGCCTGGAGCACTTTGCAGCCCCCTACGCAGCAGGGGTGCAGAAGGGCGGGTTCCTGCAGCCACTTTCCAGTGACTTGGGGCTGTCAGGAGGGAGCTGTGAGCTCAGCGAGTTGTCACCACTCACACATGTGCACATACACTGATCTCCACACACCCACCCTGGACTTCTCTGGCGGAGGTTTAACCTTTGAGAGACCAACCAACCAAATGACACTCTTGGGACCCACAGGACCACTTTCTCATGTTGAACTCTGGCACCTAAGTGTGTGCCTTGAAATTCAACATTTCGATTTGAAAAACATAGGGGACGGTCCAATGAGAGTCAAACCCTGCAACTTCAGGTAAGGTCCCTCTCCTGTGATTTGTCCTGCCTTAGTGCCCCAGCAAGTCCCTTGCCCTGAACCTGTCTGGGCTGGGGTGGGAGTCGGGGCTGCTACCAGCCCTCAACTGGGGGCTGGCTGTGAGCTCAGCAGTCTGCAGCTCTTGGCCTTTCTGAGTTCCGGAAAGCTTAGGAAAGAAAACCAGGTCACTTCGCTCAAGGAAGTTCTGAGAACCAAAACAGACCTCAGGAATGGCTTATCCGGCCCTGGGAGGCTCTGCTGGGGGAGGAGTCAGGAGGGAAGACGGAGGAAAAGCTGAACTGGAAGGAATTCCGACTGAGACTCCCAAGCGGGACTGCACGACGTTTTCCCTCCCACCAGGACACTATTAAAAGTGACATTTAACGCCAGGCACCCACCGCAAGCGCCGCCCCACCCCGCTCTCACTCACTCGGCCTCTTCCACGGCAAGCACACCTGATGCTCAAGGCAAACCAGAAACTCACCATTGGAAGCCCCAGGCTTTACGCCTTCACCCGAGTCTCCGACGCTCCCGCGGACAGGCGCATCCGTGCCGGGCCACGGCCCTTCCCCCAAGACCACTGCTGAAGTCAGAGCACAAGAGTGGGCGCAGTCAGAGACACAAGTTCACCCCACCGCCGCCAGCGCCAAGCCCACGGCCCAGCCCGGCGCGGCGCGGCCCTGCCCAGGCTCGGCCGGGACGCCTGTTGCAGAGGGCCCGCGGATGCCCGCGGGGTCCCAGCCTGGCCCGGTGGTGACCCGCTGCTCCAGCTGCGGCGGGAGACCCGGGCCCCGCGCCGCCCGCAGCCGAGCCCCGCCCGCCGAGCGGAGGGAAGTGAGCAGAATGCCACGCTCATTTACACACAAAATGATTTTGTGTCCCATTGTGCTCGCAGTTGTTCAGCTCTCTGGGGGTGATTAAACTGGCTGAGCTGCGGCAGCTTGAGACGATTTCACTAAATCGCTTCTTCGTGAAGTCGCTTCTTTGCTAAGCTGTTATTTTAACCATAAAAGGTAAACAGAAGGCGCCCCGCGAGCTCCCTTCAGCTCTGCGCCCTGGGCGCCGGCCCGGGGCGCAAGTGCCCGGAGCCTGCAGAAGTGTCCGGGGGGTGGGCCGGCAGCGGCAGTCGGGCCACCTGGCGCGCGCCAGCCCCCCGCAGCCAAGCCAGCCGGCCGGCTGGAACTTCGGGCGGCGGAGCCGGCTGGGCCGCGGCTCCGGGCGCCTCGGGGTGGGGTGGCCGCGGCACCCGAAGCGCCAGGCGGGGCGGGGAGGGGTGTGCGGCGGGGGCGGGGCGGTGACAAAGTTAAATCAAGAGGCAGACACTTGGAGACCACAGATGGGAAGCTCGCCTAATTAAGGACGTAAAAGCGCTTTTGTTCTCAAAGTTTATTGTTGCCAGGATTTAAAAAAAATTAATTGAAACTAATGCTGTTATTCACTCGTGCAGTTAAATTCCTTCATGCACATTTGAGACACGCAGGGAAAACTTGGAAGCTTATCTTTCTGCAGTCGGGAGTGGGGGCCCCAGGGGGACAGAAAGGCGCTGCGGCGGCTCCCCCGGGTGGGGTGTCGGCGAGCGAGTGCCCGCGTCCAGGTCGGGGGGTGCTGGCGGGCTGCAGGACCCCGGAGGCGGCGACCGGGTCTCAGAGCGGCCGGCTCCGGGCCCCAAGCCCCGCGCGCCTGGGACGACCACCGGCGCGCCCGCCCCTCCCGCCCGGTTTCGGACTCGCAGGGTGGGCGTCAGAGGACGCACGTCTGTCCGGTTGGAGTTTTTCTTTCCCTGATTTGGGCGCCAAGCCGGGCCCTGTGCGCCCCTAAGCCCCAGCTGCGGGAGCCCGTTTCTGACCCCGGAAACTCGCCGGCCCTGCAGGACGCACGGCCCTGCGCTGGGGCCAGAGTGCGGGAACCTGCACGCACACTCACACACACACAGCCCTGCGGCAGGAAGCTCCGAGCCCGCCCGCGTGGGGAGGGTCCACTCGGGGCCGGGACCAGCCCACGTGGGCACATGCCCCCCCGCACCAGGCCTTTGTGCCGGGCGCCCCCGCGCCGCCGGCCCCCGCCGCCCTGCAGAGGGACAAAGCAGCCGCCCCCGCCCAGGTCCGGGTCTGGGCCGGGCGACTTTCCCGGCATCGCAGCCACTTTGGGGACAGGGGTGCGCGGCGCTGAGCGGTGGCCGCCCGCGCTGGGCTTACCTCGGAGCCGGAGCGGCGGATCCGGCTCGGGCGCAGCCCCCGCCCCCCGCAGCCGCCGGTCTCGGGCGCCGGGCGCAGCCTCGCCGCCTATGCTCGCCGCGCGGGTCGCTCCGGTCTCGTCCTGGAGTTACTTTCTCTCTCGCCCCCAACCCTCCCCCCACCCACCCCTCCCGCCCCGGCCCCCGCTTCGCGCGGCCCCTCGCGGCGCGGCGCGCCGGGGCCTCCCCTCCCCGCCCTCCCCTCGCCTCCTCCCTCCTCGCGGCCGCCGCCGCCGCCGCCTCTTCGCGCCGCTCTCCGCTGCCCTCCCGCCTCCTCTCGCTCCTCTCCCGCGGCCTCCCTCGACTGCGGGGGAGCAAACCAGCCCCCGCCCGGCCGTAGCCCGCGCCCCGCCGCGGCCCAGCCGGACGCGCAGGGCAGCGACCCGGCTCCCGGTCACCGGCGCGAGCAGGCGCGCGCAGCGACTCCTGGCTCGGGGCTCGGCGGCGCCGCGGGGCAGAGGATTAGAGTCGCAATTAGCTCCGCGCGCCCGCGCCTGCCGCGCTCGGCGACAAAAATGCGCCGTTTCCCCTCCTTTCGCCGGGCGATCGCCGCCCGCCTCCACCGGGGCCCGCGCCTTGCCCTCGGGGCCGCGGCCCGGACCCTCCCGGAGCGGTGCGCCCAGGCCCCGCGCCCTCCGCGGCCCAGCCCCCCGCCCCCCGCGGCCGGCCACGCGGCGCCCGGGCCTCCTCCGGGCTCGGGAGGGGGTGGGGAGAGGCTGATTTTAATCATTGTCATTTCATCTGATGTAATATTTCCCCGGGCGCTTTCAGCTGGGCATAAATTTTCGGCTCCCAAATAAGTAACACAGGGCACGTTTCTCACATTTCTTGACTCCTCGGTTACAAAGAGGAGAGCAGCCGCCGCCGCGGCGCCCGGGGCTGGGGGCGGGACTTGGGACAAACTGGGCTGCGCGGCGGCCGCGGCTGCGGCAGGGCCGGGGGCAGGGCCGCCCCTCCCCCTCCCCGGCCGCCCGCCCAGGGTCTCGGCCCCGCTGCCCTCTCCCGGGGAGCAGCCTCCGCCGTGACGTCTGCGGACGCGCGGTCGGCCACCGCGGGGGAGGGACCGGCGGGGGCCCCGGCCAGACGCGCCATTTCCTTTGCGCGCGCGGCGCGAAGGGGACGTTGGCGGCCAAGAGTCCCCGCGGCGCCGGGGCCTGCGCCCGGGGCGCACCTCCTGGGCCACCGCGGGGGCTGTCCCCTCCTCCTCCTCTCCGGCCTCCTCCTGCCCTTCCTCTTCCTCCTCTCGCCCTCGCGCCCCGCTCGTCCCTCCTCCTCCTCCTCGACCATTTCCCGGCTCCTAGGAAACGGAGCGCGGAGCCTCCAGCGCGCCCGGCCTGCGCTGCGCCCCCGCCTGGCTCCCTGGGTCCCCGGCCGGGGCTGGGCTCGGGCGGTCGGGCGGGTGCGCTCCGGCCGGGGCTGAGCCGGGACCCCCACCCCGAGCTCCGGCCGGGCCTGGGCGCCCTCTCGCGGCCGCACTCCCGAAGGGGGGTGGCTCTGGGGGGTGGGCCTGGAGCGGGAGGTGGGGCTGGTGGGGAGAGGACGAAGTGGGGGACCTTCCTCCCTTGACTAGGGGACCTCGCGCGTGGAGAGTGTCTGGACCGCGCTCCTGTAACTTCTCCACGCGGGATGAGCAGAAACTTTCCTCCTAAGGGAAGGTTTTATTTATTTATTTATTTATTTTAGAGCTCGAACTACAGGAGAAGGGGGAAATTTTCTCATTAAAGTTACATCCCTGCAGTTAGTTCAATTACTTGATATATGCAGAAGATGTTGTAAATTTATAGATTTAAATAGCTTACAAAGATGCCGCAGGCCCCATCAGTTAATTTCCTTAATTTATGGATTCTGAGCTGCTCCTGGAACAGAAAGGGGCCCTGGAAGTAGGTCAGGGATCTATGCAGGGGCTCCAGCGCGGCCCACGGGCTGCCCACCCTGCCCCCTCACGCCCTGGCGCCCCAGGGGCTTCCGGTCCCCAGCTGCTACTAAAGAGCGCCAGGCGCTGTGCGGGGCACCCAGGCCACGCCAGGCCCTGGGGGGCTGCTCAGCTCTGGGGCCAGCTGCCCCATGCAGGACCTAGAACAGCAAACCTCCCTGCCGCTCCCATCCCACTCAGCATGGAAGGGGCAGACCCAGATAAGAAGGGCATGGAGCGTCCAAATACTTCCAGTACCTGAGTCCCCCCTTAAATGCCTGCTGGGATGACACAAACAGAGCCTTCCCCCCTTCCCAGGCCTTTGAGGAGGGCGCAATGAGGCAAATCGTACCAGGCTCCTGTTTAAGGGACCCACTGAAAACTCGCTTGCCATGGCCCACGTGGCCCCCTGTGCCCCTCACGCCTCTTTTTCTTCTCCTAGGTGGCCGCTCTATGCCTTTGTTTTGTGTTCGGTATGGGTGAATATATACATATAAATTAATACTTAAAAGATTGGTATAAGCGTAACTGTTTTAGGAAGCCACATGGCAATGTGATTAGTATTGGTATTCATGATTTAACGTTTCTTTTCCCACTAGATGAAGTTTCTAAGATTTGCAAGGTACATGTCAAGGACAGGGTGTCTAAATGGATTTTTATTTATTCACAACTCCAAGACTAATTGCTTCTCTTTGCCTCAAGGCCATGAGATTGGTTTTAATATGACACTTCAAAAGTATTCATGGAACTACAGAGATACTAAGTGTCATTGTTTAAGAGACAAATCTCACCATGGTACTGGTGACCCTGAAAATAGGATGTTCCACTTTATTTTTAAATTCTTACATGTTTTTTTTTTTGAGTTTCACTTTATACCAATTATATTAAAAATGTACAGTTTAGTCGAAACAAGAACTGACCATTTTGAAAGACCTTTATTTTCCTTAATACTGCTGGGGACTTTGTTTTCCTATTCCTGAATCCTTTTATTAAAAGGCTGAACTTTATACGTGTCATTAAGAAGAGTAAGTTTGGGTCATAATTTATTCTGGAGTGTTTTAAAAGTTCCCAGCTAAATGTCAACCATCTCTTACACTGAGCGGCTTGGACATGGACTCAGATAAGCATTTAGTGATCTGTGGTATATAATGCAATGACATTATTTAATTGACGATGTATAATTTGGACAGAAACTATATATTGAAACATCTTGTGGAATGCATCTTGTTTCATTACTACGGTTCAAGAGGTGAAATTGGATGTGAGTCTAATCGGAACTTGCTCTGTCATTAAGACTGGACTAGTACTTAGGCCATGACAGTTCATAGTTTATTTTATTTTAGAGACAGAGTCTCACTCTGTTGCCTCAGCTAGAGTGCTGGGGCATCAGCCTAGCTCACAGCAACCTCAAACTCCTGGGCTCAGGCCATCCTCCTGCTTCAGCCTCCCAAGTAGCTGGGACTACAGGCATGTGTCACCGTGCCTGGCTACTTTTTTCTATATATTTTAAGTTGTCCAGATAATTTCTTTCTTTTATTTTTATTTTTTTTAGTAGAGACGGGGTCTAGCTCTTGCTCAGGCTGGTCTCGAACTCCTGAGCTCAAATGATCCGCCTGCTTTGGCCTCCCAGAGTGCTAGGATTACAGGTGTGAGCCACCATGCCCTGGCGACAGTTCATAGTTTAGAAACCAGATTCAAACCTCTGCTTGCTTTGAGGTTCCTCTGCGCAGTCCCGTGAGAACTACATCATTTGCGGGATCAAGACCTCAGGCTTCCAGATGTTTCAGGCTGGCTTCCAGTGTGATTTTGTACTTTGCTGTTATTGTTTGCAGACTGTGTTTAAAAATTAGGACCTTAATAAGGAAAGGAAAATGAACCCAAAATGAAATTACAGAGTCTGCTGAATCCAACCTTCTCGGGAAGGCTGGGACCAGACCAACAGAGGAACAGACCGAGGGACCTGGCTACTGCTCTCCTGGGGGTGTGGTGGGGAGGGG